GCTACGAAACGAAGAGAATAGACTGTTGGGAATAAATTAATACAATTTCATGGAACAAATATTAGAATTTTGGTTGTAAATGTAGCTCAGTGCTTCTGATAGTGTTTAGGCCAGCAGAGAAGGCCTTGCTGGCCCCTACGGCCCACCACTGACGTTTTTTTGCCAATAAAAAGAGTTCAGTCAGACATTTTGTCTCCTCAGGTTGCCTATGAAATAACATACAACCCAGCTGGTGAGATAGTGAATGCGACCGTGTCCCTGGTGCTTGGATTTGTCCATGGAGCAATGCTGCCCCTAAAACAGGAGTTTCTTATTAGCTTTGTCCAGGTATGGTCACCCAGCAAGACTGTCGACGTATCATCGAGTGTTTTGCAGAAAAGAGCTATGAAACCTTAGTGCTACTGTATGTCGTATTAAGAACCTACCTACTATTTGAAGTAGATACAGTACTTAGTGGTACTTACACATTTAATACTTAAGTAAATGATAGATTTCAGTTTTTGATTTATAATCAATATTCAAAAATCTCCAATGTCACTTTGTCATTATGGGTTATTGAGATGGGCAGAATGGCAACTTTATTCATTTACCATTAAATCAACACACTTTAAAATGTACCTTTGAGTTTTCTCGTTCTCAGTCGTCAGAACAGAATGACCATGACATGTACTCTGATGATGTAGCCATCCACATCCACTGAATGCATGAAAATGTGGTGGTTTTGAGGCCAAATGTTTGTAATGTCCTGAGTCCTGTGTCTGTTAAATAGCAGGGTGGTGAGGAAGTGTCGATCCGCTACAGTGGGAATCCAGGTTACGTGGTTGGACTGCCACTCTTGTCTGGAACAAGGACAGCAGAATATCCTCTACCTGCCACCATAATGTATTTTCCTCACTCTCATGTAGACAGTCACATTAATATGAAGGGTAACATTAAATAATGTCCTTAAGCAGCAGTAGTAAATATTTTTCAGTGTTTGATGAGAAGGGGATGTCACTCTGATATGCCTACGTTAGTCCTTAGCAGTCTTCTTCACTGGGATCATTAGAAGCATCGACCTCAGAGACACACTGTCTCTTCTCCAGAGTACTAAGGACCAGGATTGTTTGCAGGGTCCCCATCAGCGCTCCCCTGTCCTGTTCGGTCTGGATTCTGTATCTGGCTGCACATTAAGGCAATACATCCTCACACTCAGCAATTTCTATTCTTGTGTACAGGTACTGTACAGTGTCTTTGCATGTCTTAAGTATTATTGAATGGTGATTTGTCTTGTTCCTGCAGACTGGAGGATGCTGCCAACTGCTCCCTAGTCTCCCAGATGCTTCTAGATGTTCTGAGAGGACCAAACTATCCCCAGTATGTGGCTTCTTTTGGAAACTCCCCCTTAAACAATCCACTGGACTGGGTGCAAATCAAGAACAACCTCAGCCCTGGGGTGAGCACAGCTTGTAGGTAGTCTCAGGTCTTGAAAGTGCACCCATAGGTACATGTCCCCTATACTTTGGCAAATGTAGTTCATTGAACTCATCCTCTAGCCATAATCCTAGATCACAAGACACATACAGTGGGTACGGAAAGTATTCAGACCCCCTTAAATTTTTCACTCTTTGTTTTATTGCAGCCATATGCTAAAGTCATTTAAGTTCATTTTTTTCCTAATTAATGTACACACAGCACCCCATATTGACAGAAAAACAAAGAATTTATGACATTTTTGCAGATTTATTAAAAAAGAAAAACTGAAATATCACATGGTCATAAGTATTCAGACCCTTTGCTGTGACACTCATATATTTAACTTAGGTGCTGTCCATTTCTTCTGATCATCCCAGAGATGGTTCTACACCTTCATTTGAGTCCAGCTGTGTTTGATTATACTGATTGGACGTGATTAGGAAAAGCCACACACCTGTCTATATAAGACCCTACAGCTCACACTGCATGTCAGAGCAAATGAGAATCATGAAGTCAAAGGAACTGCCTGAAGAGCTCACAGACAGAATTGTGGCAAGGCACAGATCTGGCCAAGGTTACAAAAAAAATGTCTGCTGCACTTAAGGTTCCTAAGAGCACAGTGGCCTCCATAATCCTTAAATGGAAGACGTTTGGGACGACCAGAACCCTTCCTAGAGCTGGCCGGCCGGCCAAACTGAGCTATCAGGGGAGAAGAGCCTTGGTGAGAGAGGTACAGAAGAACCCAAAGATGACTGTGGCTGAGCTCCAGAGATGCAGTCGGGAGATGGGAGAAAGTTGTAGAAAGTCAAAGAAAGTCAACCATCACTGCAGCCCTCCACCAGTCAGGGCTTTATGGCAGAGTGGCCCAATGAAAGCCTCTCCTCAGTGCAAGACACATGAAAGCCTGCATGGAGTTTGCTAAAAAACACCTGAAGGACTCCAAGATAGTGAGAAATAAGATTCTCTGGTCTGATGAGACCAAGATAGAACTTTTTGGCCTTAATTCTAAGCGGTATGTGTGGAGAAAACCAGGCACTGCTCATCACCTGTCCAATACAGTCCCAACAATGAGGCATGGTGGTGGCAGCATCATGCTATGGGGGTGTTTTTCAGCTGCAGGGACAGGACAACTGGTTGCAATCGAGGGAAGGATGAATGCGGCCAAGTACAGGGATATCCTGGATGAAAACCTTCTCCAGAGTGCTCAGGA